CATATGCATACATATACACATACACATACACATACACATACACACACACACTTAGCCGATTACATAAGTAGGATCTAGGTCCACGGAGACAGTGGTTATGAATTTTTGCTCAAGCTCCGCCCTCTGTGGGCGGAGCCTAGTCCTGCCATCCACCATTAGTGTTCCTGTCCTGCCGCCCGTACTCCTACAAATTTGAACGTTCTAGGTCCACGGGGACATGAGTTCTGAATTTTCGCTCAACATTTATTTCTCACAAACCCCGCCCTTTGAGCGGAGTCCGAAAATTTCCGGTCAGACACACACATATATATATACACACACACAAACACACCAACAGACACACTTAGCCGAATATATAAGTAGGATTATGGAAATTAAAAATGCAAAAAGTCTACCAAAAAAGTTGTTCCCGTTGCCGTTTTCGCTTTGCAAAACGTGTTTTCATCCGAATAAAAGCTGCTAATCCTAATTCTTACTAATTTGAGTTAGCGTTTTGTTTCGACTATATCTGCGATCAAACTCTCACCGTTCACCTGAGAGGGAGAGCACTGCCACTACGGTACTGTGATCCTTGTGGCCATTACGGGCAACTGCGCTTATCGACTTTCACTCTCTCCACGCTTTGAGCATACAAAATTTGAACGCTCACAACTTTTTTGGTAGACTCATTTGCAGTTTTAGTTTCCATATTTGTCGAAAACTTTCCAAGCCCTATCGATATACCTAGGTCTATTCAAAGTTTATGAGAAGCTAAAACCCTCTCCTGGTAAGATAAGTAGCGCACAACATATGAATGCATAAAATGCATGAGACTAACAGATGGCTGAGTTGGTGTGAGCGCTGTTAATGCTGAGGTGCCACGGGATCAAATTAGAAAATGCCGCTAAGAAAAAACAGGTAGTTGGGCAGTGTTAACTGTAAATTGTCAAATGTCGAGTCAATGGCCAAACATTCGGATAAACTTACACTAGAGTAAAAAGAAAGTCAACTAGCTATGCGAGCTATGGAACACCTGGCCGGTATGGAATGTCCCACTATTCTACGAAAACGTGCTTGAAATCAAAGCAGACGACGATATTATATGAAGAAAATAAATCGTAGTATTTGTCAATGAAAAAGACAGCGAAGACGAGTGTCCATACATACTAACAATCTCCTGCTATACATACCACAGTTCGAGACATAGAGGCACCACAAGTGATCTTTCTTATTATTGAGTTGAGCGAGACAGCAAAAAGTACGATTCGCCAGTTATTCTCACCAGTGGCGACAGCAGATTTTGTGAGCCTCAACAATAGCAGGCCCTTTTTCAAGCCATGAGTAGTAGCCGGATGAATTTCGAACACATCATCGGACTCGCTGGAGAAGATCAAACGCTTATCCAGTGGTGTGCAGATCACCCCGTGGCTCTTAGATCTCTAAAGAAGACAATTGCGTTGAAACATTAGTCCGTTGCAGTCGATAATTACACCTGAAAACTTCGGAAAGTCCAGTAATATTACCATCGTAAACCGTTATGCAGAGGTGATAACAAGAGTTGGCAATCATCAGAAATAGCATTGTTTTGCCAATTTTCAAACTTTCTTAACAGCAGAAATAGTAAGTATCGGATGTCCTAAAAGGTTGAACTGGTAATGGCTAACGAACTATTCGCACCGCACTGTATGAGCGCATTCATAGTAGGAGCAGAATGCGGCCCACGGTTCGCCACGCCGGGCTGCATCAAACTCTACATTGGTAAATTACGAAGCCTCAGAGATGGTTGTTACTTATGATGAAATAGTTCAAACGCTAAGAATCTCAGTAGCCGGTCACGTCAAAATCGTATACGTAAGGAATACTTGAAGGGGTGAACAAATAAAAACGATAGTATGTCAGTCTAACAGTATATGGAGCGCTAGGTGTGTGTGTGTGACCGGAAATTCGTAACTCTCAGAAGAACGTCCGAATCCAGAAGGGACCAGGCTACAGGCGAATATCAACAGGGAAAGGAGGAGAGTCTGGCGATCTGACTGTTCTAATAATATACCATTCCACGTTAGCATCCGCCTCCTAATTTGACGGATGAAGTTGGACTTGAATGGCATTTACTATAGCCTCACGCAGATCTGGTATGTGAAATAACGTCATACCATGAGGACGGTGAGGCAAAACTGTTCTGAGCAAGGATTCAAGTGAAGAAAAATCCACCGCGACGATCGTACCTGTGACGGGGTTGTGCAGAGTGAGCAGCGATGATCCAATTACAGTAATCCGCTTCGTGGCGTTGCAAACTGCATAAGAAAGGGCTGTCAGTTGATGAATTAATGAAAAGGCGCACAAGTTTTGCAAAAACGACAAAACACCAGTCATCGCTAGAAGGACCAGAAGCCACAGATCAGGTGATGGATGCATGGTATCCTTAATAAGCCAAATAACAGTTTTATACATACTCCAATTGGAAACAAATTGGAAAAGTAAGAATTGAAAAATTAGAGGAAGGGAGCATCAAATGTAAAAATAGGACTGTGATGGTGATGAAAGACACAACTCTTCCTCTTTACATCCATCCCCTTTCCAAAATGTAATAAATAGACATTCTCAAGTGAAGCTAATATCAAATTATTTAAGTTATTGCCATGAAATTTTGATGACAATAATGTGCGTTATTAAAAATCACAGGTTGCTGCAGCGGTATTTTGCCAGCATTCACCGCGAACCCGCTGCTGTCACAGTTGCACAAAGACAGTCGACTCTCACTAAACCTTGGCATGGCTTTGGATGAGTTCTGCAAGACTTTTTTCGCATAAAACCTGCTACCAAGCTGATAAACATACTCTTATCAACTTACGTTTCGCCTTTATCGCCTTCTTCAGAGTCTGGAAATGATATCGCTATCCATCCCTCATTCAACAATGAAACTTCGAAAAACAGTATCCTAATCCTAGTTTTCCCAAATGGGCGTGATAACCACAAAGACATTTTACCAACCTCAAGCGACAACCAGTCTTTTAGACGACCACCGCTAAACTGACTCACAGGGACTCGGGGTGGCTTTAGGTGATGTGCCCTATCCCTCTCGCGGTGATACTGAGAGCAAGAAGAACCCACAGAGGTCAGAAAAAGGAGCGAGTTCGCTAGCTACGGCTAGGCACTCGTCCTTCCTATTCATTTTTTTGGGACCTGGCACTGATGAAAAATGCTTCAAAAGTCTTCCGCACCGAAGTGGGGGGTTCTCGCAAAAGAATCTTAACTGCAATTCCGAACACCCCAGTTTCCCTAATTTATTCATCCTCACAGGATTAGGTAGATCATGCCTGGTGTCATGCCTAGCCGTAGCTTGCGAACTCGCGCCCTTTTCTGGCCTCTGTGGGTTTTATTTGCTTCCCATATCACGGCGAGATGAACAGGGCATATCTTCTAAAGCACCCCCCCCCCCCAAGTTCCTTTTAGTCAGTTTAGCGGTGGTTGTCTAAGACCGGTTGTCTCTTGAAGTGGGTAGAATTTGTTCATGGTTATCATGCTCATTTAGAAACACTAGGTCCAAGAAACCGCTTTCCGAAGTTTTAGTTGTTGAACGAGAATTCACACAAATTTTCCTAAACGTCGTTTTACATAAAAACCCGTGAAAAAAAAATTTTCAATAAAATAAATTTAAATGAAGATAGTAAAGAATAGTCGGTTAAGTTAGAGTAGTTAGTTCTAGAGTAGTTGGTTCTTGTTTAATGTTCAACTTGTCTTGAAAGACGAGAATATTGTCTCAAATACGGGCTGTCTAATGACAATTTCCCAGTTGATGAACACACTTCCAGATCGTAGCGACAACCTTATTGTGAGTGCACCTTAGACTTCTTCTGACCTAAGCAGATAATAACGCGGATAAAATCGAGGGAAGAGCACGAAGAACAAAAGCTATAAACATGGCAAAAGTCTCAGGAAGAAAGCTAGAAGCATCTAGGTAAGACGACAAAGAAATCTGATTAACGCAATTCCGCAGTGGATATTAGAGAAAGAGGAAGCGAAGACGAGTAAGCAAGCTCATCGAATCTTATATTAGGTTGAGTAAAAAGTTTTGATCGTTTTTTCATCTTTATTTCGAAACGTCCAGTGTGCTTATGCTCGAAGCCATCTGGCGCGTCCTCAGGTTGTG